GCGGTTGCACAAGTTACAATTCCACGACGACTAATCCAGGTGTTTGGACCCTCCTATTTCCCTATACCCTAATCCTGGTTGCTACTGGATATTCATAGACGCTGCCAGACGCTAGCGGTCGCTGGTGGACGCTTGCGGACGCTGGTGGATGCTGCCGCAAAATATGAACGCAACCTAGCAAAGCGTTAGAAAAGTCATAAAAGTAACAGAACTGATTACCAATCTTCGAAGGTAGCTAAGGGTAGCTGAACACTAGTAACTTTATTGGGGCATCAAAGAACCACAGTATTACCGGTAATTCATTTCCGTTTAGGTGGAGTACCTACTTGATGAAGAGAATGGTTGGTCTATCGATGACAAGGAGCTGGAACGAGCTCTTGATGAAAGCCGTAAACAGTTTGACACGAAAGTTCTGGTCGTAATTAATCCTGGAAGTCCTACTGGTCAGGTATGCTTTGACAACGTGAAGTTTTTCTCATACTTCTTGCCTTTGGAAAACTTTGACACTTGCCTTCTGGCTTCTATTATCACCCCATATCAGTTCTTATCAGTACCTATCACGCGTTACAAATGTTCCCACCCATTCTGGGTTGAGTTATGGAAGGAATGAGTTGATCTGGAAACATCTGCTTGAAGATTCAGGATCTCTGACTGATCAAACTTTCTTCAGCTTCTCACCCGTGAGAATATCCAGGCGATCGTCAGGTTCGCTCAACGCAACAATCTCTTCCTCATGGCTGACGAAGTGTACCAGGTAGGCAGACCTTTTTGTCATTAAAGCAGCACCTACACTCGGCGGACTCGCATGTTGCTTTCAGGATAATGTGCACCCAACTGATTCCACGAAATTCATTTCCTTCAAAAAGGTGATGAGGGAGATGAGTGAGCCGTTTAACAGGTAGGTCCTTGTCTTATCTGCCCTGCGTGTATGTGCGTATATCAACGGGGCTAGAGCTGTGGATACTTTACTCCCTTTCACATACTAAGTAATAAGTAATAATACAGAGCATGTTTGATGTTAGCGTCCATATCCCGCAGAGTGGGTGGGCGTGGCCGCGTACTATTTGAACGTGGCAAGGCCGGTTGCGCTTTTGGTAGATACAACCCCTTCGGAACATTTGTGATAATGAGCTTCTCTAGTGCAAAGCAGAATGACAGTCGTTTCAGGTGCAAATATCTCACGAAATAGGCATCCTTCGTCTACGGGGAGGGCGGTATGCGCTGCGTACTTCTTTAACGTACGCAGCCACGCCCTCTCCATCTCTGGGATATGGGGTGTAAATGCCCGCTATTCAGCAGCTGCTGAGTGATGACAGGCTCGAGAACTGATGAATAGCGGTCTTATTACCATTGTTTGGATGAGTGTTATCTTGCTCAGCCCTTAGCACCTTGGCATGTCCCAAAATTTTATACGTCAAGCCGATTTAGAGTTATATCCGTCGCTTATAGGGGGGGGGGACGTCGAACAGCTGCGGTGTTAGGGCTGCGTTTATGGCTTTGGGGCACGTCAAGCGTTCCCAGGCGTGACCGCGGTGACGCTGGAACGCTAGATTGATCTCTCTCCTCTCCGGACTGCCGCTGGCGTAAGCTGGAGCGCTACGCTACGTCATGCTGCAAAGTAATGGCAGCGGGCGTGTGAAGATCATTCCAGGCCTCCTGACACAGCCCCGGCAAGCGCTAGGTCATGGTGGACTACCTAATGGTTAGAGCGGCAGATATACTAGAGCCTGACTCTTGAAGACAAACCCCAATCTTATACTGTGAATAATAGCGTTCGGTAACCAACTATAGTTGCTGAATGAATCTCAGGGGAAGAAAAAAGCGGAAAAAAAATCATGGGGAACATCCTGTATAAGCACGTATCCGCTTCTCTGAATGAGTTTCCCGGTCCTGCTCGTTTTGTGCCAGCAAGAGCGATATCCTGTCGTCTCTGGCTCAATAATCGTTTCTTCGCCCCAGTGTTAACGCTATCTGATAGTTATCAAAAAACGAAGAACACGGGGTAGAAACTGAAGGCTGGACAGAAGTTGCTTCTGGGTTCCGGTGGGCGGGAAAACTGGGGAGCCGTCAGAACTGCCACTTCTGAGGGCTATAGCACCTTCGCTACTTACTGTGAAACCGCAGGGGGATGATCTTAAACACTGGGGCTAGACCATTTTCACAAGTACTTAAGCGCAGGGAGTGCCCTCAAGGACTGTTAAAGAAGCACTCAAAACGCCTTCTGTAGCTGGTGTTACCTGTTCAGAGCTAGGGGATGACTTGTCATTTAAAACGTCAACACGACGACGTTATCATTATTATCGACGTCTAAAAGCTTACCATTAACGGGTCAGATAACTTCAACGACACACCAACCATCTACATCCTAGGTCTCGGAGGTGGACAGGGCGCGTCTGCGTTATTCAGGACATGGCGGCGGCCGCATTCTGGTGGAATATTGCCGTTTCGGGACAGCTGTAATAAACTCTTTGTCCAACACAAGACAGGATGGCAGCTGTCTCAAACAGTAATATCCCGTGCACAACGCATTCCACGCATTCAAAACGAATCCGCTGCCATGCCCACCACATCTCCGGGATATGGAGTATATCTCCTAGAAGGCTAGACCACGTGCACATCAGCAGATAGTCAATAAGTACTTCAGGCTGGAACTGGTCTCCTTCCACTCAATTTCCAAAGGATATATGGGCGAAAGCGGTGTACGAGGTGGTTACGCGGAGTTCTACAATATTGATCCTGAAGTGTTCGCAATGTATAAGAAACTGATTTCTGCGAAGCAATTCCCGTCAATTCTCAGTCAGGTAGGGAATTTCAATCAGCCAGGCCTTCTGTTCTAGAGACTGTCTTCTCTGCGTGTTAGCTGATTTTTCTTTATGGCCCTACGGATGCCTTAGTGATGAAACTTCACTGCGTTTCATTGGGCTACAAATGGGCTGCAAGTTTTTCGAGGGCAGGGAAGTGCGCTGGTCGCAGGGTTCGGAGGCGTGAAGTATCGAACTATTGAGGGCGTAATCCGACTAGGTTCTTTCGCTACTTCTACCCTTATTACACGTCATTCTCTGTGACCATAGATTACAGGATGGCAGTTCTCATCAGGACAACGGCCCACCAGTGAATAATGATAACAGCAATGCCCCACTTGGGTCCAATGCGCCTGAGTAAATAATAAATCGGAACATAATGCTCACACACTGTGCTCTTCCTTTTGGGGAAATTTTTTTTGCGGACTCAATGATTAGGCTACGCAGTCAAACAGGTGCAGATGCCTTCAAAACAGCGCTTCTTTATTTTCCTATTGTTCTATCAGTCTTCATCAGTCGTCGGAAAGACTGAACGCTTTCAAATCCGCTTCTCTGCTCTCTTTTACCGACATAATCCTTACTCCTCCCCAGGGTTAAACGTTGGAAGGAGGCCACGGTATCCACGCTGCCTGTCACCCCCCGGGCGCTGTCAGTACACTCAAACTTGCTAGACTGTACCCCATCCAGACAAGTGGAGCCTACCCTGCCTCCTCTGGATTTCGATAGAGCTGCTCTGAGAATATGAAGACACCAATCAGAGTAGTAGCTGTACCAGAACACTTTTAAGTGGCACTACATCCCCAAAAGGTGAGCCCATGGCCATCTTCCCAGTAATATATTGCTGCTACAATTTTCCCGCTTTCCTTTGCCCCCAAACCTCCCCGCTTACGGCTGCCCTCCCTCCGCCTCCACATTGTGAAACTGATCTCATTACTATACCCAGAATTAGGTACAGGTACAGTTCATCGCTTGTCAATAATTCTCAAAATATGACTTTAAGGCTGCCGTCTCTGCTCTCGTGAATCCGCCCAAGCAAAACGATCCTTCATTCGAACCGTGGGCATTTGTGAGTTAGCTCGTGCAGCCACTAAACCTATGGCACGATACACTCAATGATTTTTTCAGGAGAAGCAAGCAACCCTGAACGGATTCAAGAGGAGAGCGCAAATAGTGATGGAAGCTTTCAGTGGACTTGATGGCCTAACCTGCAATCCGATTCAATCTTCTATGTATGCTTTCCCTCGACTACATCTTCCACCAAAGGCCATTGAAAAGGCTAAGGTGAGACGTTTTTCGAGTTTATCTCGAGAAGAGACTGGGGGGGGGGTAGCCTCTCTACCAATAACATGCCCTTCGCATCTAGTGGTAAAGCAAGGGAAGTGCTAGTTTTGCTGCTGCAGCCTTATTCTTTCCAAGAAGATGTCCATTCCTCGCGGGGAAATTGCAAGTTTGGTCTGTATTTAGTGGGCCGGTAATTCTTCATGCAAGAGTCTTCTTTGATGCCCTGCGCACTCTCTGCCGCAATGAGCTTTGACAGCTGAGAGAGGGTAACATGAGACATTAGGTTTGATTTCTGACCACTAGCGGGTGCCACTACGGGGGGCACAACTTCTCGCAGTGCATGGAATTCTGTGAACAATCAGTGGTCATTCCGAAGGGCCCTATCGATACCAATCATACGGATGGAGTCGGTCCCACAATTGCGTTCGCCTCATAGGTGCGCACCTCCTTTTTAATATAGCAAATAAGGAGGGAAGCGCCATCAACGGAAAAGGCGTGAGGGCAGGCCTGGCTCCACCCACGTGATCGACGTGGACTGTGTTCAGCGTGTGGACGACTTTTTCTCTGCTTGTGAGACGTGAAAGTTTGCGGGCTACAGACAGGAAAATGAACTGAACTATAGAGGCACGTTCCACATTCATTTGGTGTGGTGTACAAACGCCGTTCTTGGACCAGGAAGTTCGGCTGTGAAAGTGCACTACTTTCACAAGTCAAAAATATGCGATAGCGACACTAGGTGGTCGCGGCGAAGGTAATGCCCCGCCTACTGGCCCAATACACACCCATCGTTCATCAAATCTTTGTGTTAATGCGGTTGTTCCTCCACAAACTCTCTCCGTTTTGAACGGTGATAGTGAGGTGATCACGAGAAAGAAATGATGCCAATAAGGGGCCTCGTCCAAACGCGCTCTCCCTCTATCAGGCCCGGGGGTCCTATCTAAAAAAACTCGAATCCTTTACTTTTTATTTTACTCATCTGTTAGATGTTACTAACCTTCACATCATGTTTAGCCAATTGCTCCACATTTGATCGAGAAACGTGCCTGCAGGAGCGTACTGCTTATCGATCCATATTTTCAGTCCATGGACGTGCAGCCAGACTTCTTCTATGCGATGGAGCTTCTTGAAAATACTGGAGTGTGTGTGATACCTGGTAGTGCATTCGGTCAGAAGGAGGATACCTATCATTTCCGGTAA